TTTCAGCTCAGGTATGATCTCAGGGTCGTGAGATTGAGCCCTGTGTCAGGTTCCTCACTGGGCATGGAGCTTGCTTAAGATTCTCTCTCTTTCTCTCTTTCTGGCCCTCCCTTTCCATAAAAAAAAAAAGTCTTAGTACATGATAAATCTTATTAATATTTTTTGAATAAATAAATGATCACACTATTTGTTTTACCTCTAATAAAATTTTAAAGAGTTCCTTTAGAAAAAAAAAATGAATTCCTTTGGAGAGATAAGAATAAAGCAGAAATCTCTGACCTCTGTGCTGTGATCCCTAAGCTTTTGGTTTAGTTAAACCAAAAGTAGAAAAGTGGTACCTAGCAAATATTTCAATTATTCATGGACATTTCCCTGGGCCATCTGCAGGTAGGCAGGGCTATGCAAATAGTTCTGGCCAATGAAATGGGAGCAGAAATGGTGTGTGTCACTTCTAAACTGAGACAGTAAAAAGTTCATGCATTAGTTTGCAAGGTCTCTGTTCTGTAGCAGCTCAACGGGTTGTCAGTTCAAAAGAGCACAACTATGAGATGATGGATGGAATGTTTTAAGCCAGGGTCTCTGAATGCAGGCCACTGAGATTTTGAGGTTGTTTGTGTTGTAGCACAGCCTTATTGCTGGTCCAGACCATTACAACATTTATCATATTGCTTACATATTTACCATATTGCTACATATCTACTACCCCACCTTAACTAGTTAATCCTTACTCATTTTTGTAGTTTTGCTGTAAAATGACACATAGTTGGAGAAACCATAATGATATAAGACTATTTGTGAAAAGTTAGAGATTAGACTATAAATTTAAGACAGTTAAGTGTGGTGACAAAATTAGTATAATTCAATTCAATGCATCTACTGAGCAGTAAAAGTCTATGGTGTGCTCTGTATTGTCAATACAAATATGAGTTGGTAATACCAACAATCATATTATTAATTATTATAAATAAGATAATATTAATAGTTATAAACAATATTAATAATAGTGGTTTTTTTAAAAAATTCTATCCATTTATTCATGAGAGACACAGAGAGAGAGAGAGAGGCAGAGACACAGGCAGATGGAGAAGCAGGCTCCATGCAGGAAGCCCAATGCAGGACTCGATCCCAGGATACCGGGATTAGGCCCCAAGCCAAATGCAGACTCTTAACCACTGAGCCACCCCGGCGTCCTTTTTTTTTTTTTTCCTCTTAAGATTCTATGCATTTATTTTAATTGACTAAATAAATATAATATTATGAGATAACAGAAAATATGTATTGGTCTCAGACCCCAGTTCTTGACACAGAGCTCCTAAAACTTTTGAAATGTCCTGAGTAATAAGAACCCTAGGAGGATTTCTTATTCTAATAAAATACTTGTCTTTGACTCCTTCCCTTATATAGGGTTCCTAAAACCCTTGCAAATTTCTGAATGATAAGAGCACTAGGGGTATCTTTTGCTTTAATGAGGCAGCTCTTGGTGGGCTCCTGGATAGCTCCTATGGGGGGGGGGTGTTCACTGGAAAGGCCAAGCAATGATTAGAAGCTTGAAATTTTCAGCCTTGCCCCTTATCCCCCAGAGAAGGGCTAGAAATTGGAGTTAATGATTGATCATGTCTATGAGAGGAAATCTCCATAAAATTCTAAAAGTGCAGGGTTCAGAGAGCTTCCGAGTTGGCAAAGACAACCACACTGGAAGGGTAAAGCTCCCCTTACCCCCCCACAGCTCCACAGGGACAGAAGCTCCTGTGGTTGGCTCTCCCACCCCAGACCCTGCCCTATATACCTCTTTATCTGGATTGTCTTCTATATCCTTTATCATATCCTTTAATAAACTGGTAAATGCAAGTGTATCCTTGAGTTCTGTGAGTCTCTCTAGCAAATTAATTGAACACTAAGGTCACTGGGCCATAGATCTATAGCTGGTAGATTCAGAAACATTGGTTATAATCCAAGCTTACTACTGACATCTAAAGGGTTTAAGTGTGTGTGGAGGGGGGTTGGAGGATAGGTAACCTTGTGGGACTGAGCACTTAACCTAGGGTATCTGACACTATAGTGTCAAAATCATGTTAGGATTTTAGGATACCCAGCTGGTGTCCCAGAGAATTGCTAGGTATGGAGAGAAACCTCCACATATCCAGTGACCAGAAGTGAAGTGTTTTGTGTAAATAGCAAAGGAAATTCACAGGGAATAAATGGACAAGCAGGAAGAACACATTTTCCCTTACACCGGAGAAGGAAAATAAATGAGTTTTGTCATTACAAATGTACTAACTGAGTTCTTGATAATAATTTCTTTCTGGTTTAACAACATCAAGAGATGACATGATAAATGTCTAGAAGTCTGGTTTTCAGAATAGATGTCAAAGCAAGAGCGATCTCAATCTCCTAAATTTGCCATATCATAAAATGTGAAAATAACTTATGCTTGAAATAATATTGCCAAATATTTTTATAGAGAATCACATTATCCCAGTTATCTTAAATCCATTATCTTGACTGAGCCCCATAACAGCCTCTTGAGTTAGACAGATCTGAGACTATACTAATAGTTTACTGATTCTTTGTATGTGGAAACTGAGGCCACAAAATATTGGCATGGCTTGTCCATGGTCACACAGTGACAACTGGTAAACCAAACACTAAGCAGCTCTGATAAAAGGGTTTATGAGAAATTTTCTGTGACATGTATATAAATGAGCTCAAGTTGTTTATTTTCCATCCTAATAGCCAGGCTTTTCATATCAAACATATCTCTTCATCTATTATAATAAGTCTATATAGTACAAGCCTATACATTAAAACATATATCTAATTGTAATCAATTTCTAAGAATTTTCCATTTTCCCTACATAATGAGAAATTGATGACATCAGTAATATAATTTTTTTAGCATTATATTTTTTTTTGACACTGGTCAAGAACATGATATTCCATATAAGATAGAAAGCTCATTTCCTTCTTTAAGAAAAAAGAGAGGGGGCTCCCTGGATGGCTCAGCGTTTAGCACCCACTTTCTGCCCAGGGTGTGATCCTGGAGTCCCGGGATCGAGTCCCATATCGGGCTCCCTGTATGGAGCCTGCTTCTCCCTCTGCCTGTGTCTTTGCCTCTCTCTCTCTCTCTGTGTCTCTCATAAATAAATAAATAAAATCTTAAAAAGAAAAAGAAAAAGAAAAAAGAGTGGAAAGGAAGGAAAGAAGGTAGGAAGGAAGGCAGGCAGGCAAATAGATTTTTTTGTGTGTGAATAAAAGACAAGACATTTGATAGAAACTCCATTCCACCATGCTGTATGTATGTGGTGATTATCTGGACATTTTGCTTCACGTTTTGTAAATATTTTCCATCTCCATTTTTATTTTTTAATATTGAAGTGACTTTAGTTTAGCACCACCTGCTAACTTAGCACCAAGTAAGATGTAATTAACCCCTCAAAATAATCATCTAAAATAGATAGACCTAATTCCAATCCCAGGGTGATTAGAGCATTGTTTTTGTCCATCTGCGGGTCATCTGATAAAAGTCAATTAAACTTAGTCCATAATTCCCCCACTCCTTACCTAACGGTGGCAAGTAGTGTAATAAAGATATGATTGTTTTAAGATCATTATCTTTAGAGATATTTCTTTTTCCTATTAAAAGAATGGGTGCTGTTTTTAGACTGTTTCTAGTGGGCTAGCATCTTCTTACTTTCTATTGACTTTAGAAAAGAAGTCATTAGAGATGCCAGTGAATTCATTAGTTAATTCTCTTCAGGTCTCAAGGTCTATATTTCCCAAGCTAGAAACTTCTATACATATCCATTTTTCCAAGCACTTCAGCCCCTTGCCTTTTTAATCAATAGGCCATATTGACAAAATTTTAATTATTTCCTAAATGTGCACACCTGTTTTGATTTTCCTTATTTTGCAGTAAAAAACAAAATCAGCCCACTGGTTTAGCAGTTTGCTTTGCTCCATTCTTTTTGAATTTCAGCTTTCTCTTCTAAGACAGAAGGGTCTTACTTATTGATTCATTTTTAAAGAACAAAATTTTAAAAATCAAAGAGTAAGATAAAATATTCTGCTCTGTTAATAATTATGCAGAGATTTAAAAGATTGTATAATTAGCTTGCAAAAAAAAAGTTTTGTTATTTTGAAGAAACTCACCAATCTATCTTGAAAAAGGCACTTCAAAGTTATAATCATGCATGAAAAGTCCAGCAACTATGCAGGGTTATCAAAATGTGTCTGACTCTCAGTGCTCCTTCATGCAAATAATAAAACCTTCACTTCTGTGACCTCCTAAGCAATGCTGATCCATTCAGCCTGCTAAGAAGTCAAGGGTTTAAGTATTTTCCTTCCCCACAATTTCACCAAGGTTATAATCCATGTGAAAAGATCCCAGGGATTCTGTCCAAATTAACTTACTATTGGGTATTTACACTCTCATTTTTCTCATACTTTTATTTTCCTGGTGTAATTGAGATGTAATAAACATAGGATATGTTGCAAAGGAAAAGCAGGTGAATAAATACTTCCAAATCCAGCTCAAAGACTTCCTTTCATCCCAGCCTACTGGTAAGGAAATAGATTAGATCCACATTTTTTGAACTCTGTCTAAATTGATAAAACTTAGAAGGGATGTGGCATACCCAGCCACAGACTACTAGTTTAAGAAGAACCAAATAGACTGAAAAGACAGCAACTTTTCAGTTAAAATGAACACATGCACACTTTCTTCAAATCTAATGGTACTATGGATGGCAGAAAGTAGACAGGATGGCTCCATTTGTATGAGTCTAAAGTTTTAAATCCCAAAACATCACAAACAATTAAGCAAATATTTAGGGTATACAAAAGAATGGAGTCATGATAACCAGTAGCACATCACTTACTGAGAATCTTAACCTTAGTTTTCCAAATTTTAGAAATGATTTCCTACCCTTATTTTGAATAAGATCATTTTCCCAAATACAGAGGCTGGAAGAATAAGAAATAAGAAACAGAAAAGTACTTACAACTGATCGGATGTTATTTTCTTTCATCAGCTTCAGAGATGATTTATAGCAATTTGCGAGGTCTTCCTTGTGGGAACCATTAATATGGCCTCTGGCTATTGGTCCTACAGTATGGATGACATCTGCACATGCAAAAAGAAGAAGAAATAGCATAAGCAACGTATTTTTCACTTTTCGCGTAATTGGTGCTTTATTTACTGTAGGTATTTGTGTTGGAGCCCAGAGACAAGCAAGCTAAGAATTACTGATGTTGCAAATGCCTCCCTGGTAAAAGATTTTATATAGCACAGCCTCATAAAGCAGGCAGTTGCCCAGGAAGGTGATAATTGTGAAAGGGCATCCCCTACCAGTAAGTTATTTCATCATTGGTCAGATCCAAGTGAGACAGATTATAATACAAAATGTGAATAATTGGCACCCTGGCAAAAGACAAATCCTTGGTGGGAAATAAACTGAGAAATAATTGCCTGGAAAATGAGCGTTCTCAATTGACATGGGAAAAAAAAACCCATCACATCACTTCACATCACTTTACTTATAAATAAGGCAATAGTTTCAGCCATTGTACACAATAAAAAAGGACAAATTTCTGAAAATGTGCCAAGATAATTTATAACAATCAGCAATAAACTTAAAAGGAATAACTTTAAAACATCTCTACCAATTTTAAAGTGGAATCTACCAATCCTCATATATATGACATATGCTAAGGATAATAGCCCCTAATAATTACTTTCTATTTTTTACTATATTAAAACTTTCAAAAAGCAATCTATACTTTCGGCCTCTATATTTAAAACACAGATTTTCTTTTGCACATAAAACCAGTCATTGTTATATTTTGTTAATACGGACACACACATAAACTTTTGCATTTAGAAACATAATGCAATAGCACTGTTTTAGTTTTAAAGTCAATAAGGATCATAAGAAAGAACTACATTATAATCCAAATTACTTGAATGCCTTAGAACGTCTGCTTTCCAGTCTTATCTGTTAATCTGCATTATTTGCCCATCTCATTGATGTAACAAAAACTAATCACCTTTGATCAGAAAGACAAATATGGTCTAATATTATTGGAATATTATAATGAAGTGAAATTATTTGCTTTGGCTAAATAGTACCACTTCATTTCAACAACAATGACAAGATAAGAACATATCACAAAAGTGAGACTATGAAACAGTCTTAACTTGCATAGGAAATTTAAGTAGCAGAAAAGAAGTCACGAAGGGTAAAACCTTTGTTTGCCTGCTAACTATTGAGTGTATTATTTGATGTTCGAGAAAATACCCAAAATGTTGATTTCAACTTTTAGCTCTGAAACAGTATTTAAACACTTGCCAGATGATATTAAAGATGATATCTTGTGATCAAAATAGGCAGAAATGTCACCAGTGAGTTCATGCAGATGCTCTTGCACAGGCAAACCTGGCTTTAAAGTGAGAACCTCAATAACATAGGAGAAGAAAAGGGAGATTAGTTTTATTTAGTAAAATAAAAACAAAAACCCAGCACACAGCGATACCATTTTTTTATAATAAGAGTAACAAATAAGAGCTCTATGTATTTAAGCAATACAAGTTCTGTACCAGCTGTAGTGAGTTTTTATGTGAATATTTCATATTAGCTTCTGTTTTGAAGCAAATACCTCATGAATGAAGATGGAAGGTTATACTAGCTTAACTTCATTTTCCCCTTTGTGACTACCTGTTTGTGTCCAGTTGTGATATTCTAAATCCCCCAATGAATCCAAAGGGAGAGAAGCTATAGAGTAACATCACAGGATTCTACAGGACAGCATTTCCCAAAAGTGGGTAGAGTAAGATGTGGGTTTAAAGGTCAATTATATTTGAGAGTCACTGGATGAAATTAAATCACAACACCTACCTTAGTTCAGGACTTTCAGGATATTTAATATGCAACAATGGATTATGAATCTCAACAAGCAGGGATACAGAATGGAATACATCTGACTATTGGAAAGTATGTTTTGATCTGTTTTATTTTTGAAAGATTGTATTTATTTATTCATGAGAGATACACAGAGAGAGGCAGAGACATAGGCACAGAGTGAAGCAGGCTCCTTGTGGGGAGCCCAATGTGGGACTTAATCCCTGGGCCCAAGATCACACCCTGAGCTGAAGGCAAATGCTCAACCACTGAGCCACCCAGGCAATCTGAAAACTATGTTTTATAGAGTACTTCAAGGGACTAAATTTCCACAAATTTACCTTTGAGAAATGTTGTGCTAGGACAACTCTGGCACCCTCACTGCCATTGTTGAAGGACAAGTCCATGAGTTTTGCCTTGCTTTTTCCCCTCCTCCCCAACTGCCTCTGTATATCAAATACTTAATATATAAAGGTGCAACAGTTTATGACCTTGGATTCCTTATATTATGGATGAAGGTCAAGAGGAAGTGCCTCTTATCTGGGGTCATAAAGATGTGTCTATTTGAGCCAAGTAAAAACAGGGATTCAGAGCATTAATGGGAAAGGGAAAAAGAGAGTCCATAAAAGAAGAAGATAGTGACATTTGAAGAATCCTTTTTCTTTGCTTTTCCCTGTGGACATCGTTGTTCACATGACTTAGGTGGAATTTGTGAAAAATTATTACGTTTCTTCAGTTCTCCATTTAATTTAAAGGTCTGAGGACAAACAGCCAATCAATGAGCCTTCTCCTCAACATCAAAATATTGATCTCTGTATTTTATGCTCTATATTAAACTTACAACATCCAAGATCAAGTGTTATTATCGACCAACACAATGACCTCTCAGATCCACAAAGCTGAAGGTGAATCAATGTGAGGCCCAAAAGTAAATTTCCTTCACTATTTTAATTGTTCATAGCACTCAGAAGTGATTCTTCCACACTGCCAAGTTCTTCTATTCCTGTTACAAAACTCAGGAGGTGTACTTTCCAATTCCAGCTCCAGCCCTACTTGCTAAGTGCCTCAGAAGAAGCCATCCTTTCACTGGCTCCTGCCTTGGTTTCCTTATCCATAAAACAAATTGACTGCTTAGATGATCTCTGTGGTTTATTCTGTGATGTGTGGCATCATTAACATTTACCTTTGTATCAGAGACAGATGGAGTATAAAATGATGCCTGGGCAGTTACAAGAGAACTTAAACAAGTGGCTTGCAAGTTTTATGAGTATTAAGGACACTTTTTTAATATAAAAAATATTATAGACTACCCTTTCACAATAGTAGTTTCAAAATCTATTAATTGAGTACAAGTTCAAGACAAACAGCTGTTATAACATCAACGATGCTTTGCACTAATTTACATTTTATTGAACACAATAGCATCTTGATAGTGGACATGTATATGTGAGATATATGCACCAATCCGTAGATAATGCTTTCACTTGCACATGAATTTGTCTATCCCTTGGCATAAAGAAGATAATGTAAACAGAAGTGTTTAATTCGATTTCTGGTGCATACAGAGGCTCAATAACCAGCAGCAAGAGAGGCAACATCCAAGACATCATATACACACAGGCAGAAATGACAGTCATCATCTCTGCTCTGATGTGGAAAAAATACCACATTTTAAGTCTTGAGGTCTGATTATAAGTCAGAAGTTCTGGATCTGTCACTAATCAGTTATGTGATCTTGGACAAGACACTGTCCTCTTCGAGTTTCTCTTTCCAGGCTAAAAGAAGGATTTGAATAAGATGGCCTCTAGATTCTTTGCTGCTCTCAAATACAATTCCTCTTCTGTTTGCCTATGAAGAATTGATCTATAGATTCTAAGTAGTCTAATTCATTCTTGTCTAGATAAATGAACACCAGTCATGGTTCACATTTCTCAAACATGCTTGTACAAATAAAGCCCAAATTGGTCGATCCCCAAAGACAGTGTTTTAAGTACCTATCGAAATTATAAATGGAGACTCCTTTTGATCCAATGGTTCTATTTCTAGGCATGTATCTTAGATAATATGCTTACTCATATGCAAAATGGCATTTATACAGGTCATTCATTATAACACTGTATATGATAGGCAAAGATTGGAAACAACCTAAATGTGCATCAATAGTGACTAGTAAAATAATTGTACATTTATACAACGAAATATTGTGTTTCTGTAAAAAGAGTAATGAAGGTGTTTACATGTGGATATGGAAAGATATCTGAGATATATTACTAAGTAAAAAAAAATGTAAAGAGGTATAATTAGTATGCTACCATTAGAGTAAAAATATCCCACAGGAAAGAATACAGGTTTCTTTTAGTGAATACCTGCACAAAACATCTCTGGAAGCAGTAACAAGCAATTAATAACAGTGATTCTCTACCAGGGTTGTGATGGAAGCTGCAAAGATGGAGGCATATATGAGAAGGAGACTTTTCACTGTTATATTTTTTTTGTGTGTGTTCAAATTATATGAATATATTACCTACTCAACAATTAAATAAAGCATTAAAACAAAGGGTATGTGGTGTGCTAAACCTTGTTCCTGGATCCCTACCATATCCCTACCATATACAAGTATTGTTATTGTGCTTTATAAAGATGATCTTACATCACTGCAAATATGAAAATATTCTTGAAAAAGATACAATCCTAAGGGATTTAACAGAATGACTCCACTAGATATATCTTTCCTTATTTTTCTATTCTCAATAATCTCTTTATAGAAAGTCATTATTTTCATGGACACCTAGGTGGCTTAGTGGTTGAGCATCTGTCTTCTGCTTGGAGTGTGATCCCAGAGTTCTGGGATCAAGCCCACATCAGGCTCCCTCCGGGGAGCCTGCTTCTCCTTCTGCCTATGTCTCTGGCTTTCTCTGTGTCTCTCGTGAATAAATAAATAAAATGTTTTAAAAAAAAAGTAAATAATTATTTTCAGATAAAAGTAGTTTAAATGGTGGACAAAAGGGTATTTTTTCTCCTATATGTTTAATATCTATCTTTAAAGTTTCACTACAATTTTAATATGCAAATTGAACCCTAGAAATTCTTTAGTAGAAATGTAGTACCGGGATATACATCTTAGATATCTCAGTAACCAAATAATTTTTAATAATAGTTAAGAATTTTTAGAAACAAAAAGGACAATATAGAAAATTTAACCTATTTCCCCCTGTTCAAGGGCACC